GGCTTTTCGTTCAATGAACGTTCGAGACTTCCAAGTACACATAGCAAAATTACATTCTTTTTTGAAAAATTGTCTTTTACTTATTTTTATTTAGAAAATCAACACAAAGATTCTTTATAAAAAAAAATAATGGCTGATATTGTAAAAGAAGAACTTTTCGCAACTATTAAAATATTTTTTTTAATACCAAATAGGAAACAAAATGATTTTTTATAAAAATCCATCAAAAAGATTTCTAAAATTTATAACAATTTATAAAAATCTCTCCAACAAACAAGTCCACTGACTATATTTGATAGTTAATAATGTCTCATGTCGCTATAGCAATTAGACCAGTTCATGTCAATTGCACTTCTGTCAATCGAATTATATAGCCACGATCGATTCTGGCACTCAGTCTATTCGTATCAATAAATGGCGATGACGAGAAAATAATTAAATCGCGGTATTGTGAATTATTAATATTAATATTACTGTTATTTTCATTTTTTTTTACTGTTTTCTGTATTTTTTTCTTTGTCACAATAAATTTTGTTCTTGTATTTTCCAAAATAACTTTTTCTTTAGAAATTAAAAAAAAAATTTTAATTTTCAAAGAAATTCTCTATTTTTACTCGGAAAAGTAGAAGAAATTTAGAAAATTTTAAAGAAAAATCCTTTATTTTTCAGCAATTGCTCCATTTTCAATGGAAAAATAGATCAAATTTTGAAAATTTCCAAGCAAACTTTATTTTTTGAAAAATACTTTATTTTCACTAAAAAAAACAAGATTTTGAAAATGTTCAAGAAAAACCGTTCAATTTTCGAAAAATAATCTAATTTCACGGAAAACGAAACAATGGTTTATTTTGTAAAAAATGATCAATTTTCACGAAAAACTAGAGAAAATTTTTCCTGTTTTCAAAGGAAAAATCCAAAAAAAAAAAAAAAAAAAAAAAAAAAAAAAAAAAAAAAAAATTTTCAAAAATTTTTGAAACTATTCAAGAAAAACCCTTCAGATTTTGAAAAATGATCCATTTGCACTAAAGGAAATTTTTGAAAGTTTAAATGAACAATTTTGAAAATTGTAAACAAAAATCTTTTATTTTTCAAGAAAATTTTTCCATTTACAAAGGAAAAATCCAAAAATTTTTGAAACTATTCAAGAAAAACCCTTCAGATTTTGAAAAATGCTCCTTTTGCACTAAAATATACAGAAATTTTCGAAAGTTTAAAAGAACAAGCTTCACTTTTCGAAAAATGATTCATTTTCACGAAAAAATGGAGAAAATGGAGAAAATTTCCAAATTAAATTGGAACTAATAAGAAAAGTGTAATAAATGTACAATAATACGAAAATTCATATAATTTTCTATTATAATGTATTTAATTTATATATTAAAAAATATTCTAATTTAAAAATTAAAAAAAAATTATCTTATACTTTTATAGAAGAATATAATACGCTCTTATATATATTCTCGACAGAAATTAATGAGTTTACGTATTATACATAACAATTAATTCAAACGTTCCAAATACACGACAGGGTCACTGAACGAAAAGACCATTTACTATTATACTTTTATGTTGGATCATTTTATTGTCATGACAACCTTAACTTTTATTAAGATCTTTTTTTTCGTAACACGTGCGAAAATTAATATCCCACACAATACTTGGTGACACAAATTGCTTTCAAAAAGAAAAAAAAAGAAAAACCTACATAGATAAAATAATCTGTCATTGAAAATCAATATTTTACGAAGGCTTAGCATATTTTTTTTTTATTTTTTTTTTATTTCTAAAATTTATTCCAGATTGAAAATTTCTAGACTCGTGTATGATTATAATTTATAAATAAATAACTATAAATATATAAATTTACACCCAGAAAAACGATACATTTGACTCAGAACTAAGTGGACATTTTATTTTTGTTACAAACAAAATTTATTTGGTTTAAATAAAATTTTATTTGGTTTAAATAATTGTATTTGGTTCAAATAAAAGTTGTATTTGTTTCGAATAAAATTATTATCTCGATTTTTATTTAAAAGAAATAATTTATTCTGAGAAAAATATACTTTTATTTAACTAAAATAAATTATATTTAGTTTAAATAAAAATTGTCTCTGGGGTGTAAATATATAAAATTAATAATCAACAAATTGAAAATTTTGTTTTAATTTTTAAAATTAATTCAGTTAATATAAATTGAAAGCTAATTGTAAAAATTGTAAATACCAACAAAGAAAAATACTGAGAATTTTTTTTTTGTTAAACTGAATCATGTTTATACTTAACTACAGTTTGAAAAAAAACCTATGTCTCATTCCATAAAAAATTAATTTCTATATTCAGATATGAATTTAAAAAATTTCCCTTTCACTTGCATCAAGGTTAAATGTAAACACCGAAAACTATTTAATTAAAAGTTATATAATTGAGAGAGAGAGAGAGAGAGAGAGATGAGCAATAAAATGTTGCAATCATTAATGATAATATGTAATACAATACGTGTAATTTATAAATAAAAGTATTAATGCTCTTGAATTGTTATTTTATCGATGATATTTGTAAGTGCTGAAATATTTATTTCCTTTCCGTTTATGATCAAATCAACTGTGATTAATCAATTTATCAAAAAATCACTATCAATTTAAAATCAATTTTTAATTAATTTCCCTAAAATTGAAATCGATATTTTTTTTCAATAAATTTTAATCCAAAATGTTAATCTCAATTTAAAATCAATTTTTAAATAATTTCCTTAAAATGAAAATCAATTTTCAATGAAATAAATTTTTAATTAATTTCCTCAAATGTTAATTAATTATTTAATAATTTCCTCAAATTAATACTAATCAATTATTTAATTATTTCCTTAAAATGAATTGCAATTAATGCAGATATATTATGTAACTTAACTCAAACATTAAATAAATCGATTAAAAAAACACAAATAAATAATTAATTTCCTAAAAATTAATCTCAAACTAATTATTAATTATTATATTTATAATAATAAATTATTATTATTGTTGTTATATTTCATTATTAATTTTTTGGTTTCATTATTTATTAAACCCGTTTATAATTTAAAGAAATAAAAATAAATTAATTAAAAATTAAAAATAATAATTATTACTAATTTGTATTATTAGTGTAATTACTATAATTAATGTCATTATTTAAAGAAAAGCTTTAAAATAACACGGTTTCATTTTGATGTTAATTATTTTTGAAAGTATGTTGTGAAGCGTTTAAAAAAAATTGATAGATATTTTAAACGTTTGCAAAAGTAGGTCTCAAAGTTTTATAGATACCGTAAGAATATTCAATGGTGAGCCAAGAATTCTGAATGGGAAAAATTTTAATTTCAAATTTCTTTTTAATAAGATCCGAACCAAAATTTTAAGGACAAAATATTTAAATTTAAATCATCAATTAATTTCTACATAGAATTAAACAATTAACAAGTTTATTTTATAATTAGCAATTTATTTATTTAATATTTTCTTAAAAATAATTTTTCTAAGTTAATTCTTAATCCACAAAAAAGAATTTTTTTATCAGTTTAAATATTTAACTTTATCGTAAAGTTTAGTTTTACAAATTATTTTTCACTTTTTTTAGATTCTTTAAATACTTAATTCATTTATTTATTTAATAATTTATCTTTATTTATTCAATCTTTTTATTTCATTCAATTTTTTAGCTTCTTTGTAATAGAATTTAGAAATGAAATTAATTTTTTAACGAAATCTTTTTTCTAATTTATTTTCCAAAAAGAATTTTGTAATTTGTTACAACTATTTTAAAATATGGAAATTCAGAAAAACTATTTTCAAGTTTTGAAAAGTTTATTTAAAATATTTGTAATTATTAATCAAAAGTTATTTTAGAACTAAAGTTTTTTTTAATAAATTATTTATCGCAAAATCAAAAGCTTTTTGCAAATATATTAACAATATTAACTAAAATTTTTTCAATCAATAAAAATTTATATTTATATAGTTTTTTGTCAACAACTAGAAGTATAATTTTTAAAAGTTTACAAACAGAAAAAATATGTATTTATTAAATTAATTAGTTGAATTCGTTAATTAATTAATTGTTTTTTCAAATTATTTATCAAAATCCGAAACTTGATGCAAATATGTTTTTAAATATATCCACGATAATATTTCAAACAATAAATGTTTGTAATTTTATTAATTTTTTTGTCAACAACTAATGGAGTATAATTTTCAAAAGTTTACAACCAGGAAAAAAAATATTTGCTTACTAAATTATTTATTTGTGTCAGAAATAATTTGGTTCAAATAAAAATTAGTTGATTCAACTAAAAATGATTTATTTGTTTTAAATAAATTTTATTTGCTTTAAATAAATTGTATTTGGTTCAAATAAAAATTATTCGTGTTAAATAAATTGCATTTGGTTCAAATAAAAATCAATGGGTTCAAATAAAAATTAGTTGACACAAATAAAAATTATTTATTTGTTCTAAATAAATTTTATTTGTTTTAAAGAAAATTTAATCAGTTCAAATAAAAATTATTTGGTTCAAATAAAAATTATTTCTGTTAAATAAATTGCATTTGTTTGGTTCAAATAAAAATCAATAAATTCGAATAAAAATTAGTTGGTACAAATAAAAATTATTTGTTCTAAATAAATTTTATTTGTTTCAAAGAAATTTTAATTCGTTCAAATAAAAATTACTTGGTTCAAATAAAAATCATTTGGTTCAAATAAAAATTAGTATTAGTATTCACTGCGACAAATATATTTTTATTTAACTCAAAGAAATTAACTAGCTCTTTAAATAAATTACTTCACCGGTTGTATTCACAATAATCTAAAGCTAAAATTCGAAACAAAGACCCATAAATCTAAATATTTTGATAACAAAAATATTCACAACTTTTGTAAGAAAAATAGAAAATTTCCTATCATTATCGAGAGTTAAAGTCTCTTGGAAGGAAGAGATCACGTTTTTGCAGTTGACTTACGAGTTTTCATGACGTTGCTAAAGATTCTTTAGTTCTCCAAAGTAAAGATCGTGTTTCCTGCACCGTCAATATATATACACTCATAAAAGAACAACAACAAAAAACTGTCTAATGAAGAGAAATTTCTTCAAACTTGAAAACCAGATTCCAAATTTTTAATAACACTAGACACAATTTTTCTTCTACTTTTTTTTTTATTTCTAATAATCATCCAATCGATAGATCATCGATAACAAGTTTCAATGAAAAAGAAATTCATTCAAAACTCAACACCTTTATCACTGATAAACTCCAACAAATAAACACTAAATTGTAAAAATTCACAATATTTTTGGAAATATTTTCTCTTAAATTCCTTTTTTAGTTTCAAAACAATAATCCCAATGCGCAGGTCAAAAAACTTTCACACGACAATTTACGGCGTTTTTTTTCTCTTCTTTCAATTCCTATTATAACAAAAATGTTTTGGTTATTTTTCGGTGATTTTTTTTTCAAAAAGAATTTGAAACACCTGTTGATATTGAGAGAGCATAGTTCTTAAGTGAACCACACCTTACAAGAGACCGTACGGTTGTACAGGAATACACGGATATTCCTTTCGAATACACGGATCGAAAGGCCCTCGCCCGCGCGAATATTTCAGGGCCGTAAGAATTCTTGGTATTTAAAGGCCCCTGGGCACATTGACAAATATAAAATTTATCTAACCGATTCATCGAGAATGTATACAGTACGAAAACCTACCACGTCAGTCATGTCCCATGAGTGGGAGTGAGACAGACTTATGCGATTCCCATACTTTCCTATGACTGACGGATAGCTTTTCTTACTGTATATATATGTATAGAAAATTTTACGATTCACATCTAGGTAGAGTAAAATAATCAGAAATCATATTCATGTATTCAGAGGAACGCGAGAAGACAAGGTCGGGAGACGACTTTATGCAATAGATAATGGAAATATTATTGAGCGAAAAATTATAATCTAGCCTCCTTATAGCGACATTTTTTTAAGCTGTTTCTTCACCTGTTGCTTGAAATAAAAAAATATTTACAACATCCTTTATCATACTTCTCATTGTAAAACGTAGAAAAAAATTAACAATATTATTCGACAAAAGTTCCTTGAAAATATAACTATTGTATTTTGTTAATACATTAGATTTACTGTTTGAAATTAATTTTTAATTTAAAAAAATAATTTAATTTTTTTAAAAGAAAAAACTACATTTATTTAAATTTATTTAAACATTAATTCCTTTAACATTTATTTAAATTAATAAATGTAGTTTTTTCTAAAAATACTATTTTAAGGAATTTTTTTATTTAACCGAAAATTCATTTAACTGAATTGTAATTTAAAAAAAATAATTGCAATATAAATGAATTAACGAGTCAAATAATTAAATTTATTTTATTATTATTTTCAAAAATTTTAATAGAATTCTTAGCAAGAATTTAATTATTTTCATAAATAATAATATTCTTGGTAAGAATTCAATTATTTTTATACAAATAGTAAAATTCTTTGCAGAAATTCAATTTTTTTTAATAAAATAATTTTTATCAAATTTCACGAAAGGATTCAATTTTTTAAAAAAAATTTAATCAAATTTTATAAAAGAATTCAATTATTTTCTAAACTTTTTATAAATTCTTCAATACAATTCAATTATTTTTAAAAATAGATAGTAAAATTCTACGCAAGAATTAAATTATTTTTATAAATAATAAAATTCTTCTAAGGATTTCTATTATTTTCAATATAATTTTAATAAAAGTCATGTGAGAATTATAAGTTATTTCAAGATAAATAACAAGTCAACAATCAAATTTTTAATTATAATTAACAGACGATTTTTTTGAAAATTAAAAAAAAATTCTTTGTTTAATTCAATTATTTTCAAAATTTTCAATTAAAATTATTAAATAAACTAAATTATTTTCAAGAAACCTTTAGAAATTATTCAAAAGAGTATAATTATTTACAAAAACTCTAATAAAATTGTTTAAAAGAATTTTTTCTATCAATAATAAATTTTAATAAAATTCCATAGTAAAATTATTAATTACAATTATTAACAAAATCGATTATATTCAAAAAATGAAAGCAATTTTTTGAAAGAATTCAATTATTTTCAACATTTTAATAAAATTCCTTGAATTAATTAAATTATTTAAAAAAATTCTAAGAAAATTCTGAGAAGAATTTAATTATTTTCTAAAATTTTCAATAAAATTCAATAATTAAATGTTTTATTTCAATTATTAACTAACACTATTATTTTACAATTTTGAAAGAAATTCTTCAAAAAAGTCAATTAGTTTTAAAACTTTCAATTAAAATTATTAAAGAAACTTAATTGCTTAAAAAAAGTTCAAAGAAAATCAACAAAAGAATTTAATTAGGATTTTTAAAAATTTTAATTAAAGTTTTCTTTAATTCTAAATAATTATTATTAATATTTAAATAAAATCAAATTAATATAAATAAATAATAAATAAACAGAGAAAACAAATAAAAAAATTAAAAAATATAAGAAAATAATAAAAAATAATTTACAAAAAATTATTTGAAACTGAATTGAAATTTAAATCCAATCAATAATTAATTATAACTTGCATATTTATTTATTTATTTTTAATCCCAATTAGAAATAAAAAAATAAGAAATGAAAAATGAGAAAATAACTAAATAAGTAAATAAGAAATTAATAAAATATAAATTAAAGTAAATAATAAGAAAAAATATTTTCTCTCTCGATAATTTTATTTCAAACACGAAATGAAAGTTCGAAAAACTAAAGTAGAAATTTCGCCTAATTAGAAATGCAATAAATGATAGAAATTAGATTAAATAGCTATTTCGGTTTATAGATAATTTGAAGAAAAAAGTGTTTGCTTAAGTTTCGTAATATCGATATTTTTAAATTAAGAGACGAAAAGATGAAATGCATAAATACAGATATTACACATTATTGAATATGAAATAGTGATATAAATATTAATTTTTCGAAGAAGGTCAAAGAATTTATATTGCCCGGGAAGTGATTTCGGTTATCGAGATAGAAGAAGCGAAAGGAAAGTTGACCTATAAGCATTTTATTTGAAATAGTACCTGCAATTATGGAAGTGCAATACTTCAATTGAACTACTTCAAGAAATAACTTCTTCAAGCCAATTATTTCCCATCAATTTAATTTAATTATTCAATTTAATTAACCAAGAAAGAAAAAAAATCTCATCAGTTTTCCGTAAAAAATAAAATTACAGCAAATATTCGAATAAAATAATTTCTGATAATTGTAAATTTTCTATTCAAGTAGTGAATAAATAAAATAATAAATAATAATAAAATAATAAATAAATTTTATTTGAAAACAACCCTAAAACAACCCTAAAGAAAAATATTGCCTGGCACTATTTCAAAAAATTAAATTTCAATCGTATGTGAAAATTTATTTCCCTTTTATGCGTGTAGAAATATGTTTAATTTTTATATTCATTTTCAAATTTAATATCCCAGAGTCTAGTTCTCGGCATTGTTGTAAAGATAATGTTTAATTCCTGAAAAGCAGGAAAAGTAAATCTTTTGTTCTCAAAAACTGACAGTAAACTTTCAGGGACAGTAAAACCTTGACGTGTATACGACAAGAAATATACTTTTTATCTCATCTTTCTTTTTTAACAGATATATAGTCCTTGTAAAAGTACTTCGTGAGTTTCAATTTATCTTTTATATCTAATTGAAAAAAATTTAACCCTATTATTGTTACTTATATATACGGAATAAGTAGAAAAATATAAATAATAAACAGTAAGAACAAATACTATCAATAAAATAAAATAATCCAATAAATTAATAAGAATAAATAATCCCATCTCTGTATTTATTCTCATTAATCATTTAATCGTAAAGTAAAATTTTAATAATAGAATATTCAAAGTAAAATTTTATTAGCGAATTATTCAAAGTAAAATTTTATTAGCGAAACATTCAAAGTCTAATTTTATTACCGAAAATTTTTCTTCTACTATTTTATATATTTAAGCAAAATTATTTTATTCCTAGACTTGTTTACTGTTTATTAATTGAATTTTCAAAATAATAATTTTAAATATAACACACCTGTAGGTATAATTGAAAGATTGTTCCAAAAGGCAGAAATCAGGATACTCGAGAAAAATGATGAAATGAGGGCATAGCGACAATTGATGAAATTAAATGTTAATCAATTTAATTAACCGTCACTGGAGAAGTTTTCGAAATTATTACAACCTGTCTGCGCCACATCAACTTTTGAGATAGGGGGGACTCACTCGTTGCTGACTCTCAAGTGAAAAGGGATGTAGAAGCTGCTTTATCTCCAGCACGTCGCATTTCGTTCCCATATCCTTTCTGTCCTTCCTTTCTTCCTTTTCGTTCTTCATAGTTCTGTGAAAAAAAAGAAAAATGTAACAATCTGTTTTTAGATAAAAACATTTTTTTAAATATATCAACTGAAAAAATAAAATTAACAACAAACGAATTTGCAATATACATCCAAAAGCAAAAAATGTTAATTTAAAAAATAATAATTTTCATTACTTAGGTTTTATCAATATTAGTTATTTATTTATTAAGTTATTTTATTACTAATCAAGTTATTTAATTAAATTATTGTTTATCAATTTAGGTTTTATTTAATTCAAAAAATATTATTATAATATATTTAAAAAAAATATTAATTAAATATTAATTTAAAATATTAATTTTATTTAATTCATAATTTAATAATTTAATTTATTAAAATTAGTTATTGTTTATTAATACTATTTACTTATTAATAAATAATTTAATATCTCAAAAATCTTTATTAATAATCGTTGTACATATTCTGGTTTTTTGCTTCATTTTTAATAATTTTTCTTTTTAAATATTTTTAATTTTAAAATTAATTTATTGAAAATAATTGAATTCCTTCGAAGAGTTTTATTATTTATGAAAATAATTGAATTCTCTAGTGTGTGTTAATAATTATAATGAAATATTTGATTTTTCAAGTTTTTAAAAATTGTATTGAAAATAATTGAATTCTTGATAAGAATTTTATTCTTTATAAAAAATAATTTAATTCTTGTGGTGAATTTTACTACTTACGAAAATAATTAAATTATTTCGACGGATTTATTAAAATTTTAGAAAATAATTAGATTCTTTTGAAAAATTTAAAGAAAATTCAATTGTTTTGTAGGATTTATTAAAATTTAAAAAAATAATTGAATTTCTGCGAAAAATATTATTAAAAATTAAAAAAACTGAATTCTTTCGTGAAATTTTATGAAAAATAATTGAATTTTTGCAAAAAATTTTACTATTAATTTATAAAAATAATTGAATTTTTTTTTGTGCAAATATTTCCCTACTGATTGCAATAAAAATTAAGAACATAAATTTTACATTTATAAATTTTATAATTAATTTTGTTTCATAGTGTTCGCAAAATTTTCAAATCTGATGTACAACACTTTCACTGAATTTTATTTGCATATTTTTAAACGCGCACTGAGTCTACGGATTATTAAATTATTAAAGTGTTGGGGTAGTACTGACTTACTTGTAACTTAGTCTTCCTGACGGTTATTATTTTAGAACCTATAAAAATTGTTCGTATAAATCGACGAATAAATAAAACTACTTGTTAAAAATTTTCATTGAATTTATAGAAAATTCTTTTCTTTTTGCTTTTTTTAATCTTTGTTTTTATATGTAATTAGATTTTAAGTTATTTCAATTAGAATTTATACCAAGTAATGATCCACAAATTATTAACGCTCAGATTATGGAAATATTTTACAATAAAAATATTTTCTAAAATTACCAATTTTAATAAAAATTAAAAACTTAATGTTAAATTTAACGTTTAGGAAATTTGTAATCAACTTTCTTGATACATATAAAAATAATTTTATTACTTTAATTACTGCAATAAAATTTTTAATTGAAGAAAAAACAAATTTCGTTCATTTGAACGTTCAGAACTTTCGGAATATGATAATTTTCGAATTTATATATTATTTTTTTAATTATTACTGAATATAAATTTTATTTTTAAAATTTAACTTTAAATTTTAATTTTACTTTAATTTTTAATAAAATTTTTATTTAATTTATATTTAAGTAAATTTTTTTATGTAAAATATTTTAATTACTTTGTTTTTAATTTAAATATTCTGTTCCTATTGAAATAGTATTAAAAACAAATAAAAAACAAATAAAAAACAAATTCAAAATTGTAATTGTCTTTTTTAAAATTAAACTACAGCAGGAAAAATATTAAAATTTGCAGAAATTTAAGACAAACTAATTACTAGTCACTTTTAAATTGCAAAGTACCCACAACGCTAAGTAATTAAAAAATATTTGAAATAATTTTCAACTTTGTAAACACAGAACTGAATAAAATTCAAATTAAATAAAAACGATTTAAAAACGCGCACTGACTCGAAACATTACTTCCTCTTTTATCTAACGAGGCTCTGTAATACTCTGTAAAGAGGCAAAAACAAATAATTAATAATAACAAAAGAAAGTTAATTAAATTGTATTCTTTTAATTATTTCTATTGCAGTTTGATTTTTTCTAATAATCTAACCTAAAAATGTATTAAATAGAATTTAGTATACTATAATACCTACAATACTTAATATATACCAAAGGTTAAAAATGTTATTTAATTAAATCAATTAAATTATCAAAAAAATAGACAAGTTTGGAAATTGAGGTTAAGTTGATCGATCAATTCCAAAAAAAAGAAATTATTTCAGATTAATAAACTTACAACGACTCGAATTCCTCGTTGCCGGACTCTGCAATTTCGCAGCTGAATATTGGCCACGAATGAATGGATCTGGAAAATAAATGATACAATTATCAATTTATGCGAAAATTCTTCAAACACTTTGCCAAAAAAATCAACACTGCCGCCATTTTGGAAGAAAATTCCATTATTACAAAGTTTTTTTTGTCGACAAAGATATTGACTTTTAACGTTAATCCTAACCTAGAATAATTATCACACTATATAATCACAACACAATACTTTAATTATATAGTTTTAAGAAAGTATTGTTCATTTTTTTGCTCAACTTTGCCAAAATTAGAAAGGAGAACAAAACACAAAATCACTGCATGCACTGCATCGACAAAAAAGAAACACCTTCAAGATTTTCACATATTTTGTCAATAACTTGTTACCTAGTCACAATTTTACGAATAAACACGACGTTCATAAAATAAAAAAGAGCCAAGATGAAAAAGTTTGCGAAAAACTCACTTTTTTTGGGAAAAAATAATACAAAAAGTATGAAAGGACGACGAAAACGTTGCAAAATTATTGTCAGCAGAATTGCACTAAGAGAAAGATTCTGATTGGCTACATGGAAAAATGGCGGTAACCGGAAATTATGCTGTCCTGCCACCTAGCGTTCATTTACAATACTACCAATCTACTTATCTACATTATCGACTAAACTCTGTAATTTCATTGGACATTTCAAACGAGCGGGAAAATTTGAATTTCACTTTTATTATTTAATTGAAAAAAACATAAAAAATAAAGAATTTATAAACAAAATTAAACAAAATTGTTTTACTTTCCGAAAAAAGGAATTTTTATCTAATTATTATTTAATAATTCATTTTAATTTAAATAAGTAAATTGTTTGTAAAAGTTAAATTCTTTCTAATCTGGATTGTTTCTCTAAATTATTTAATTATATTTTAAATAAATAAATAATTAAATATGTATTTTAAATTAACTTAATCTCAAAATTAATTTTGGTTTTATTAAAAATAAAAATATATATTTTTTTTAATTTATTTAAATTTTTTTCGTTTTTTTTGTTTAAAAAACCAATTGTTTTTTATGTTAATTTATTCTAAAAATTATAAATTAATAAATACTTACAATTCCAATTTTTTCCGGAATCGATTAGTCGAATTATGACAATCTTCAAGTTGTCCCCGGAAATTCATCTGAAAAATAAAATGTAACTATTAATTTTGCTAAAAATTGTCGACAGATGTTTAAAAAGATCAATATTGGTGATCTTTTGGAACATTCGGTAGAAAATGAACAAATATTTGTCAACAATTGGAAATTAGCATTTGACAAAAAAACCTAACCTATAAATTTTAGTATACGGCATATAGGATATAAAATGCAAATATTATCGTACTTTACTGTATAAACTCGCAACATTGCATTAATTATTGGAAATTTTTCGCCAATTTGCATATTTTTGAGAATATTTAATGCAATAATTGTTCGATAAATGATAAAGCAAACAGTAGAACGCGTTGTCAACGGGTCAATAGACGTTAACAGAAATTTTGTCATTAGTTATACACTTGGACATGCAATTATTAGAAAAAATGATGCTCCTAAACTAAAGAAAAAGCCAAGACAATAATATTTGTTAAAATACTCACGATGTTTGAAAGAATAATAGGAAAAATAAGAGCCGACGCCTCGATCCATGTTGCAAAACTTTTGTCAAGAAGAAGCATTATGAGGAGCGCTCTGATTGGCTGAAAGCAAAATAAGCGGGAAATTGAAATGTCGCATGGTGACGTCTACCGTTAATTAAATGAACTTATCTCCTAAAAACTACTTTACCATTAATAAAAATCTACCTTACCTACATAATGTACTTTAACTTTAGAACAATAATAAAATCAATAATAAAATTATTAATAATTATAAATAGTTGAAATTATGTTAATTACACTTAGTAATTAAAATGTTAAATTATAAAAATTCAATCTTAGCGCAAAAATAAAAAACTAATGCCATTGCGTGATTGGTTGAAATCGTTGAAATTTTCAGTAAGGAATTCCAGATTTGTATGACGTCATTTATTCTTGTTACCTTGTGACTGTCATAGTATCAATGTGGAAGAGTGTAATTTTACAATTTTAATTGACCTCGTCAATAATTCACTAGTAAATCATATCTGAAAATGAGTATCTAATTGTTACATATCGAGTAAGTGTAAAATTTTCATTACAAGGGATGTTCAGTGTTTATTTTTTGACAAGATAATCCTCGATTGAGGTTATACCTTTGAACCGGATATTAAATAATATAATATCTATAATATTAACGAAAATTAAACTATTTTAGTTAAAAATAAATATATCCTAAAGAAAATAGTCTAATCTTTACAGCAATCAAGTTCTCTACCGTATGTATCAGTAAATTTTTTTATCAATTGACTCCGATTTTCTTTTTACATTGATGCTTATTAAAACAATGAAAAAATTAATCTTATTAATAATGATTACAAAACGTATGTGAAATTACTTTCTTGATAAATTTTTTCAATTATTTTGTAGGTAATGTGTAAAAAGTAAAAATTGAATTGTTATTTTCATGTTTTGTTTGTGGAATCAGCTAATGAAAGTATCAATTTACAGGTAATTTATTTAGGCTGACAATGCAGACTATTAAATGTGTAGTTGTTGGAGATGGTGCAGTGGGTAAAACTTGTTTGCTTATCTCGTACACAACCAACAAATTTCCATCAGAATATGTCCCGACTGTGTTTGACAATTACGCCGTGACGGTAATGATAGGTGGAGATCCTTACACTCTCGGCCTTTTTGATACAGCTGGTAAGATAAATTCATTACTACTATTGTAATAATTAAATTTTAATATTCAAATAACTGATTTATTATAAATTATCAATATTTTCATTATTATTTATCATCAATATTTAATTTATTATTGTTATTCTTAAAATTTGAAGTCTCCAATTATTTTCTAACTGAATTGCGTCACTTTGGAGTTATTTTGTTTTACTACTATTTTTCTAATTGTTTTTTTACATTATGTTTCAGGTCAAGAGGATTATGATCGCCTACGGCCATTAAGTTATCCGCAAACTGACGTTTTTCTCGTTTGTTTTTCTGTTGTTTCACCGTCATCGTTTGAAAATGTCAAAGAAAAAGTAAGCAATGAATGAATTTTTTTTTTCTAATGTAAAGTAAAGAACATTAATTTTTCAATATAATTAGAGATTCAAAATTCTAAAAATTCACTTATTGAGTACATAATTAAATATTCTTGTTTATTACATATTTTCAAAAATTAGAATAACATTTTTCGTGTGAATTCAATTATTCTCAAAAATAATAACATTCTTTGGAAGAATTCAATTACAGTAGAGACTCCATTATCCGGACTAATGGATGCAGGCACTTGTCCGGATAATCAAAAATCCGGATAATCGAGTAAAGTGCGAATTAAACAAGTTTTTTATTCATAATTTTATGTATTTATTTGCATATGTTTTAAAATAAGACTGAAACAAACTAAAACTTTTAAAGTCAACATTAATAAATATTTAGTTAGAAATATTTCAAAATATTTACATAAACATTTTCTTAAAATAATTAAAACACTTTAAAACGCAACATTTCGTGTAAAGAAATTTAAAATAGAAGTCAACGGCTTGAGACCTTATAAACTTTATATTAAAAAAAAAAATTTTAATTTTAAATTTGTCCGGATAATCGAATATCCGGATAATAGGGGTCCGGATAATGGAGTCTCTACTGTATTTTGAATATAATTTTAATTAAATTTTTTGAAAGAATACAATTATTTTTACAGATATTAATTAAATTCCATTACTTTCACCAATTTTTAAAAAATTCTTTAGAGGAATTAAATTATTTTCTTAAATAGTAAAATTCATCGGAGGAATTCAATTATTTTCATAAATAAGAAGACTCATCGCAGAATTTTAATTATTTTCACTAATAATAAAATTCTTCGGAAGAATTTAATTATTTTTAATACAATTTTAATAAAATATCTCTAAAAAATACAATTATTTTTAAAAATATTAATTAAATTCAATTATATTCAAACGTTTTAATAAAATTTTTCTATTGAATTCAATTATTTTTCAAATTTTGAATAAAACTCTTTTAAAACATTAAATTATTTCCAAAAATTCTTCGAAGCAATTCAATTATTCTTTTAAATAATAACATTCTTTGGAAGAATTGAATTATTTTTATAACTATAGGAAAATACCTGAGAGAAATTCAATTATTTTCAATACAATTTTAATAGAATTTCTGGAAAGAATAGAAGTATTTTTTAAAAATATTAATTTATTTCAATTATTTTCAACAATTTTGATAAAATTCTTTAATAAAATTAGTTATTTTTAAACATTTTAATAAAATTATTAGAATAAACTCATTATTTCTAAAATTTTTTACTAAAATTCTTTCAAAAAATGTAATTTAATTATTTTTATAAATATTAAAATTCTTCTAAGGAATTCAATTATTTTCATAAATTATAACTCATCGCAGAATTTCAATTATTTTTACTACAGTATTAATAAAATTTCTCGAAAAAATACCATTTTTTTTTTAAATATTAATTAAATTCAATTATTTCCAACAGTTATGATAAAATTTTTAAGAAAAATTAATTATATTTGAACGTTTTAATAAAATTTTTCGATTGAATCCAATTATTTTCAAAACTTTTAATAAAATTCTTTCAAAAATTCTGATAAAATTCTTGGAAACAATTTAAATATTTTTTTAAAAATCGGAATAGAATTTTTCTCAAAAATTCAATTATTTTCGAATGTTTTCGATAAAATTCTTTGTAAATTTCAATTATTTTCAAAATGTTTGATAAATTCTTTGCAAGAGTTCAATGATTTTTAGTTCATTAAATTTTTAAATTATTGAAAACATTGAAAACGAAAAATTATATTTTTAATTTTTTATATTTCAATTGTTTTATTTTATTTATTCTTTATGTTGATAAAAAATTTGTATTGACTAATGTATTTTTTTTAGTGGGTTCCTGAAATAACTCATCATTGTCAAAGAACTCCTTTTCTATTAGTTGGAACACAAGTTGATTTACGAGATGACGTTGCGACTATTGAGAAACTTGCGAAAAATAAACAAAAGCCAATATCTCCAGAGCAAGGAGAAAAATTAGCAAAAGAATTGAAGGCAGTCAAATATGTCGAGTGCAGTGCTCTTACACAGGTTTCTAAAATTATTTCTTACAATTGTTCCTTATTTAAAAATTTTTATTAAATTTATTCTTAATATTTCTTTTAATCGTAAAAATGGTAAAATTATATTAATGCTTTTTTAAAAATTTTCCATTTCAGAAAGGATTAAAAAATGTATTTGATGAGGCAATATTAGCGGCTTTGGAACCACCAAAACCACCAAAAAAGACAAAGTGCTTTATTCTGTAAAAAAAGCATAGTCAAAAATTTGAAGAATTTTGTGTAAATTGGTAAGATATTTTTTGAGAATTTATTCACATGAATAAAATAATAGTATTTTTATAGTTAATTTTCAATTTAATAATTTCAAAAATTATTTTTAAATCACTTTTTTAAGATATAATTAAATTTTTCAAATATATCTGTAATAAAAATCTTGTTGAATAATTAAAATTTTCTAAAATTTAATTGAAAATAATTAATTCTTTCAAGTATTTTGTTACAAGTTTGTAAAATCAACTTTCAAAGAATTTTAATTGCAAATTTTGAAAATAATTGAATTATTAAAAATATAAATTGAAAAATCTTTAAATTTAAAAATAAAAATTAATGAAAATTCGCTTCTAATTTTTTAAAATTCAATTTTTTCAATTATATATTTCCGAAAATTCAAATCCATACAAAAAATAATATTTAGAAAATTATTTTTAACATTTTGGAGAAAAAAAAAACATGTTAAAAATTTTTAATTAAAATACATCAAAAAATTAATAAGTTTCTTTTAAATTATACAAAAATTCTTTTAAGAAATTCAATTATTTTCAAAAAATTACATTAAAATCTTTTTAAAAACTAATTTTTAGAATTGTTTTATCAAAATTTTTTGATTCATAATTATCTTTGAACAAAGTGAATAAAAATTTGTAAAAAATTTACTTTTTCAGACTTATAAAAATATTATAAATATTAATAATTAAAATTCCTTTAAAAATTAGATTAGTTTTATTTATGTTTCTCAAAAATTCAATTATTTTTATAAAATTGTACCAAATTTCATTTTTTTGGGGGGAAATTGTTTTTATTTTTTCAAAAATATAATTAAAAAACTATTATCCTTCAAAAATTATTGAAAAATATGTTTTTAAAAATTAATTATAAGAATTTCTTTAGTTTATAATTTTTTGAAAATATTTTACCTTATTTTTTCACGAAATTTCTTTTTATATTTTTCTGAAAAATATTTTTCTTTTGTTCTAGGAACGCACTATGAGCCGCTCGAGTGAACGTAACATTATCGGACTCGTAATGCGTTTATCATTTTGCAGTATTGCGATGAGGTATCAAAACACTAAAACATTCCGCAAAGTAAAAAAAAGAGAGCTCCTTAAATATCTGGTTTCTTGCAGTCCGGAAAGGATTCATTTACATTCACAGAATTATCTAATTTTTTCTATAACCCTCTTATTAATTGCCTCAACATATAAATTTTAAAAAATTGTTTTATTTTTCAATAACAATTTTTTAAAAAATATTTACAATCATTTTTATTTTATTTTTTAAAGAAAACGAAATCTATCGTTAAATATTTTTTTGAAATGTATTTATTAAACATGCAAGATAGTAATTTATCTTTAATTTTGTCATCGAATTAATAATTTGTATTGTTTTTAGAATAATTATAATTAAAGAAAATAAAATAATACTATACGAGACATCATTGTCGGATTTGTGTCAATATTTATATGATTGTTATCAAATACTTTTTATTGTATAAGTATATTGAGAATTTTTTCCTATATATTTTTTAACACTCTTCGAGCTTTGATGAGTCGGATGTAGAATAATTATTATTCTAATTAGAAAAATATAAAACAAGAATTAAAAAATGGAAAATTGTTTTTATTACCGACATTACCGACTGTTAGTATTGGTAGATTGATTTAGTTGTTGAGAAAGTCGCTAGGGTGCTCGTCGGCTACCCCCACTTTGTTAGGGCCGAAATCGCGCTCGCTGATTGGCTGCCGCTCGGCCAATAGGGTTCAGTTGGTCCTGTGCGAGGAGAACCGTGGCGCGCTGCTCCGCTCATTATGTGTCTGGCGCTCGGAGGGGTAAGTACTCTAGAGATGTAGGAGCTGCAGTTGCTAGCTGGCGATTAGTTTTTTCCTACTTTTTACATTCGGTTTTCTTATTAATAGAGAGTGTTAATGGATATCAAGGTTTTAAATTCAATAATATATTTCGAACAATGGAGCTACTTTACCCCTCCGATTGTAGTCAACTTTTTTTCCTACAACGCGCGGCGTCTCTAACCTAGAAGTTGTGTTATCGACTATAAATTTCGTTTCGTGTGCCGGATAGTTGATAGTAAGTATTCTTTCCTAGAATCCTCGAATTAATAAGATAGATGTCGCGGAAATAAAGTTGAAAGCAAGTATTCGATTTTCTTTTACGGAATCGTTAAATTAACTACAACCGTTGAAATAACGGTTGAAGCTGAGTGTTTCCGGAAGTAGCGCCAATCGAATGCTTATTAACGGCTTTTTTCAAATAAGTAGCCAATTAACTCCAAGCGGAAGTAAATATTTTCTGCAGTAGTGCCGGATGAGTGTTTATTAACGTTTTCGACGCAAGAATAAAAAAGTGCTGGCGTTGACAAATAACTTTATCAAGAATTCAATATTTTCGGAATTTAGAGCCGGGCGAGTGTTTGTTCATTGAAATTAAAAAGTGTCTGTGTTTTTCGTGAAAGTTTCTAAACAACTTTACAAGAAAAGAAGAATGGATACAAATCATCGTTACGACTTGGATGTGGATATCGTTGCAGTTTTCGACCTTTCTTGAGGATCATTGAGGAGACAAAGGTATTTAACTGCGCTATCAATTTCGTAAGTCAGTGATTTTTAATTTTTACTTTATTTGTCTGAAGAGGTAACATTCTTGATTTTTATTCATATAATTTCGTTCATACAAACAATTAGGTAAATTAATCCCCTCCCTTTTAGCCCCGTGATTGAATTGACGTTCATTAAATCCAATTAAACAATAGTTATATTATTTAAATCTTTCTTATTATTTCATCTGTATTTTATCATTAAATTGATGCAAATAATTATTTACAACAAGTAAATATTAACATAATAATTAGTCGCAGGAAATCGATTATTTAAATTAAACAATTTTTTCAATGCAAAATACGGGTTTTTAATCAATTTTCAACGACTTTTTTATTTAAATAATTTTGTTGAATTTCTCAGAAAATATTAACTTTCGTCGGTAAATGAACGTTATTCTTTGCCGGTAAAGACGAAACTATTTCAAGTCTTTATCATTTGATGATGAATATTTCAGTAGGTAACTTTATTAAATAAAAAATTAGGTTTAATAACTTAATATTTAAAAAATCGATTTCTCATCACTTATTAAATAAATAGTTGTCAGAGAGAATAAATAATATTAATAATATTTACTTTAAATGAACAATTATTAGGTAGTATAAATAAGGATAAAAGCACACAATTCATAAACTTTATTAACAATAATGATTTATTTATTCACTATTTTTTTTAATATAAATAATGAGCTTTACATATACAATTTGTCACAATTTAAAAAGTGACATAACGAATGATATACAAAAACTTAACACATCAACATATATTTTTTTATTTTTTTAACAACAACAACAAAAAAAGTCCACTCTTGCACTCTTGCAATTAATATATTACAAATCTTTAATATCAATATTGTTTTTAAAGCATCACTTACATTCAAATTTACATGTCAATAATGTAGGTACGATAACAAAATATTTCTCTTCAATTCTTTACATTTCATACCCAAAAAGTTAAAAATTGTTTCTTGGAGTTTTTTTAAACGTAGAATTTTTGTAAAATTTTATTAAAACTATTTGCAAAAGGAATTCTTTTTTTGTTTGTAAATGAATTATTTAGAAAACAAAATAATTGATTTTAAAGAAGAAAAAGATTGATTAGTAAAAATATTTATTAGGCTTATTATCTAATTTTAAAAAATTAATTTAATTTAAAAATTTAATTAATATATAATAATGATGATTAATTTGGTATATAATGAAATCTAAATTATACAAGTGTGCAGTCTATTATGTGTATTTTAAGCGAACACCTTCAAAGCTTTTATTTTATTTTTTTTTTTATTTATTTATCTACTTGTCTAAGTGGATATGCATTATGCAGTGTGTATAATCCAATAATTTCTCGTCTATCTATGTTTTTGGTAAAATGCAGTTTTATTATTTATTATTAGGAATCCAAAGTTTATTTTAGCACTATATTTAGTATCATTTTTATAAAAGTACTTTTCTACATGCTTAAAAATTTCGAATTATTCCTATTCTTCGTCCTAATAAATTTAGAGTTAAAGTATTCAACAAAATAGAATCAATTTTTAATATTTATTATTTATTTAATTTTTATTTATTGACGATTTGCTTTTTGAACTGGAATTTATATTTTTTTTTGCAAGTTAGCTCAAAAGAATTTAAAGAAATAAATATTTAAATCTTTCAAAATATTAATGTTCGATTAAATAATATTAAATTTAATAAAAATTTAATTTAATAAAAGAATACTAAAATATTCAATAGATACTAGAATTTTTATTGAATAATTAGAAGTTCTGTTATTTAATTAGAATTTTTATAAAATAATTAATTAGCTTCTATATTAAATAATTAATCAGCATTTATATTAATTATTCAATTAGCATTTTCGTTAAATTAATAATTAACTATAATTTTTAATGAATAATGAATTAGCATTAATTTATACAATAGGTATACTGAATAAAAATTAATTCAAATAAATATTTATTTAATAATAGACAAGTAAACGTTTATTTGAATGAAATAAAACTTTTTTTCAGTGTAATTAAAAATTTTTTGCACTCAATTATTACTCTCGCATTGAACTTGAATCTTTTTAACTTATTTAAGAGCAATTTAATTGAATTTAAAATGAAGTTAAATTTTAAAAGAATATTGAGAAATAATGACTATAAAAAAAAGTATAGTGATCATAGATTAATAATTAAAATTTAGTGTTTGTAAAGTGAGATACAGCAGCTGAGAACGTGGTACCTGCAATGCGCCAATCTAATTTCCGCCTCACCCCACTTTCTATTTCGCGAGATACAATTTCGTTCTGCTTTTTCACGGTCAAGTCTACGATCATATAATAATCGAACTTTTAAATTGCTCTTGACATCCATTATACTGGACTGTGAAAAAGGTCAATATCTCAACTACAATAAATATTTACATTACAATCATTTTGAGCAAACTTGCAAATAACTTTTTTTTCCTACTTACAAAAAATTGATAAACTTTAATTTTTTTTTCAAAACAAATTATATTTCTGCTATTGAATTTTGTTTTCGAAAAATAATTTTTGTGTTTTGATATTTGTGAATCAATTTTTTTTCAAAACAGAATATTTTTTTGGAAAACAATATTTTTGCGGTTTGATATTTGTATATTTTTTTCAAAACAATATTTCTTATTATTTGATATTTGTGTAGAATTTTTCTTTGAAAACAAAATATTTATCGTGATTTGATATTTGATATTATTTATTGTCCCAAATCGAATTTTTGTATTTTGTCAATAAATTTTTGAAATAATTTTGAAATTAGTATTATCAAAACTTTATTAGGATATAACAACATATTTTGTTGATCTAATCAAAATAGTTTAGTTGCTTAAATATTACATTATTTTTGCTTTCGACAAAAAAAATAATACTTTACAATTTTTTTGACTTGCAAAATAAGTAGTACAAAAATAAATTGTTTAAATTTTGTTGAATATTTTCCTTTTTATTTTTTTTTAATTACTCTCTAAATTTGAATCAGTAGTTTTCGCACACTTTAGAAGAAAACTACTAATTTAAATTTATAGAGCATATTTGAAAATTAAAACAGTTTTTAATTAAAATTTCTAATTCGTAAAAAATTGTCATTTCATTTGTAACTTAAATAATTTAATAAAAAAATTCAATGAAAATTTAATAATTTAATGAAGGAAATTAAATAAAAATTAAATAATTTTACAAAATGAGGAATAAAAATTGAATATAATTTTATAAAAAAATTAAATGAAAGTAATTGAAAAATTAAAACTGAAAAAATTGGGGACTAAACTCTGTTGGGGATGAATTTAAAAAAAAGTAATTTGAAAAAATAATTCAAGAATTATTTTAAATTAAAAAATTTCAAAAGAGATAAATTAAAATTTTAATTTAAAATGTTTTATAATTAAAATTAAGAGAAAAAATGTAATTTTCAACATAAAATACAATTATCAAGGTAAATAAAAAGAGAGCTTGCGAGAGAAAAGTTGTTTTCCTATAGTACACTAAAGTACCTTTTTTCACGAACTACCCAGAGAAGTTTATCTCATTTTTTATAGTTCGCTACATTTTACTAATCTACTTTCTGTATCACACGTGTCTTTCTCATAAGAAAATGTAATAGAGATTTATCTCTATATTTGCTTATTAATTTGCGCATTTTTTAATTTATTTCCTACATTTTCATTCAAACTTGAAACACACTCTCATAAACTTTTAACATTTTTTTTTTAAATTATACACCCATACTATAATTAAAATTATATTTGCAATTCGTGTATTTTATTTACTTTTTATAAAATTTTTTTTTGATAAACAGAAAAAGACAAAACGGAAAATATAAATTAAATTAAAATTTAAATATAAATCTTAAATTAAAATTTAAATATTATTTAAATATGTTGTAATTATTATTATTATTTTATTTTACATTATTTTATATCTTATATTAATTAATTAACGTATTATAATTATTATTGTAAATTATAATTATATTTTGATTGTAATTGCAATAATAATACATTATAATAAATTAATATATTCTATAAAATAATATAATATTATAATATAATAAATTTTATAACAAATATAAATTAAGATAAGATTTGTTTTTCGTTTCTATTTTTGAATACATATTATTTTTATTTATACCTATATATGTAAAATTGTCCTTCATTTCACATGAAAATTTTTCTCTTCAAGGTAGATATTTTTAATCTAATGATTTGTCTCTTTGATAAAGTCTAATAAAAAGCTCACGGTTGCTGCTTTAAGAAGCACATTTAAAATATTTTTTTTCTTTAATGATTTCTAGATGCAAGCGCATAATTACGGAAGTAAATATATGTCATATTTTTTAATATATTTAATATATAATTGAATTGAAAAGAAAATCTTTTTATATTAAATACTTTTTTATATATTATATTCATTTTTAATATATGACTAAAAATAGTTTTCAATAAATGCTATATCAAAATTCTTAGGATATCGTTTGATTTTAACATATTATAAATGACTCTTTTGTCATTTTTTAAAAATAGTAACACAATCATAAGAATTATAAACATATTTATTTAAAATGATTGTTCTTTTTAAATTACTTATTTGTTTAATGAGATTTTTGAATTTAAATTTTTTAAAATTGATGAGAATGTCCAAAAAAATTATCACTTTTCAATTTTTTTTTCTTTCTTAAAATAAGTGAAAAATAGTTTTAAATTTTCTATTCATATTTTATACGTAATTCTTAAAGTACTAGTATTTAAATTTTTTTTCTGAAGCAAGCACTTTTTTGAATTATTCATTTTTTTCAAATTTTTTAAATTACTTCGAATTTTTTGTTTTTTATTTTTCTATTTTTCGAAACGAAAAATTGAATAATTAGATTCGTGGTGCAAAATGCGGTTTGAGCAAAATTTTAATACAGAATTTTCTATTTTATGTTCTTTGTCAAAATGAAAAAATACGTAATATCATTCGCTTCATGCATATCCTTTAGTAATAAAGATATAAAATATCTCACTATTTTTTTTAAACGTGTATTTACTTTGTGTACGTGCATAATGATTTCGCATTTTATTTTACGCATTTTCTGACTATACGTATACATAAATATATTATTATAATTATTATGTATTTTTTAAAAGAAGAAACGTTAAAAACATTTTTCGAAAAATAACATTTTTTTTATGCTTCTATTTTTATATTTTTATCGTAAAACTTGTTATGTAACTTTAAAACATTCAGTTAGAAATTATCTCATATAATTTTTGAGACGAAAATTTCTCTGGATGTAAAAGTTTTATAAAAGAAAAATTTTAAATAGTAAATATAAAGTATGATAATTATGATAATATACAAATAAGTGAACAGTTTTTGAGCAATTAAATATTTAAACATTACTTATGTTTTATTATTTCTTTTGTTCACTGGTTTGGATTAAAATAAATAATTTATTTTCATGAACAGAAATTCTAATTTTCAATTTGATATTTTGTAAAATAATTTGTTTTATGGAAGAATAATTAATTCTAGGCACTTTAAATTTTTTGCCAACTATATAATTATGGAGTGTAGGGAATTATATTTTTTTTTTGCTATAAAATTTATTTGATTCAAGTAAATATTTGTTTGATTTAAATAAAATTTATTCGATTCAAATAAATATTTACTTGGTTTAAATAAAATTTATTTAATTCAAGTAAATATTTGTTTGATAATTGGTTATTTGGGTAAAATAAATTTCTTTTCAATGTAAGCTGTTAAATTATTAAAAATATGATAAACTTTTTCTGTACATAAATTTTATAAACAAATGTTATAAAATTTTTTTACGAAATTCAAAGTTTAATCATAAAATTATTGCTATTTATTTATTTTATCTCTTATAAGTTTTTTCAAAAAAATGTTATTTAAAAATTAAGGAGGAATCTGACGTGCAGTCAAAATAAAAGTTAGTTCAATGTCATAATTTCGTATTTGAAAATAAAAAGATTAAATTTTAATGTCGTTTTGGTGGGAGGGTCAGAAAATTATTTCTAAACAATTAAAAGTTTTATTTGATTGTAAAAATTAAAATTAAAAAAAAAAATTTTAATTTAATTTAATTTAATTTAATTTTAATTTTTTATTTAACCGAACTTAAAATTTTTAGGTTGAGTCTGGTTTTTATTGAAAGAAAATTGTAATTTTTGTTCAAATGCAACTTTAAATTGTTGAAAATGTTGAAAATTAAATTCTTTACGCTTCTATCGAAACGAATTTTCAATTTATTTATTCATAAATTGAATTTTGTTGAATTTAATTTTTATTTTTATTTTAAAACACGAAATTAATCTAACTTTTATTTCGATTGTTTGACGGATTCTTCCTTAAAAAGTTATATAATAAAAAAAGTAATTTATTTTTTATTATTTTGCACCACCTATATTCTAAATTTAAATTATGGAATAAAGAGATAATTATTAATTATTATTAAAATTTAATTTTAAAATTTAATATATGGCGCATTAATATTAGAAATTTCTAATCAAAATTAATAGTAAAAGCATAAACATTGACGTAATCACATTGATAAACGCTTTTTTTTTATATAATATCGTTCGCATTAATATATATAAATTGTAATACAAAGTTTTACGAGGCACCGCGTTTAAATTAAAAATTTATTTTTATTAGTGTGAGTTTGGTATTTAGTATCATTTACCGAAAAAATGTTTTATCTAATTTTAATATTTCTTATATTTGAAACGTTAACCGCATACACATTGATGTACAAAAAATACTTACTTAACTTGATTATTATTGTTATAGTCACTCTCAAATAATCGGTAAATGGAACTGAATATCAAATACACCGCACTGATGACTACTTTAATTAAATATTGCTATTTATGGCCTTGGCACCCGTAGAATGCAGAAGCGAAGGCTCAGCATAATTTGGCAATTATTTTTAAACCTTTTTCTTTTTTATCACCTGTTTGACGTTTAATGCCGTTGAATTCTGATTATTTCCTTGTTTTTGATTTACGAATATTGCTATGTACTTGCAAATTTTCCTTTTATAATTGTTTACAATAATTATAATGGTTAATAATACATTTGTGCGCATAAAAGCAATAATTTTAAATACAAAGTTTTTAATTGCGTGATGATTGAAATTTGAGTACAAAAATGATTTAACATATTATATAATAATTGTGGAATAAATTTGATTGTTCAAATTGGATCTATAAAGTAAATAATTATAGTTTTAATTGTCCTTTAAAACTATTTCAGTCTTATATGAAAAGTCGAAACTATATAAAATTGAAATATAGAAATTGAAGATTTAAAATACTTAAGAGTTTTGAAATATTATTTTGTGCGGTATTTTGAAAAGAAAAATGATTTTAAACGTCAATTTGAAGGCGGAGCAATAAATGTGTTAATTAATTTCTACTTTTCATTCTAAATAGTAATTATCATTATTTAGTTGATTACTTACAAGATATTAATTTACATATTATATACATTAGATTCGTGAGCAGCTTTTATCGTGATAATGTTTCTGATTGTAGCCTCGCCTGCTGCGTTTATTAGTTAAAAACTATTTTATACATCAGCCTAACACGCGATAAGCAGTGATTTGTTTTGTATATCACGATTTTTCGTTGATAGAAATCTTTGGGAACCTCTTATTAATTAATCCACTGCTTTTTCTTATCCGCAACGCAAGTCAAATTTGCTTCTTAAAAATTAATCAAGAAGCGTGCCTATGATGTTTTTTTTTCTATACAATATTCGAAAAATGGATTTAGAATCTGCACGAAATAAAATAACTGAAAAGTAATTAAGGAAAAGTAGTTCCTCAAGTTATAGTACCAAAATTTATTACTGTTTTTAGAAATGAAAATGCCACTCGAGAGTCAAAAATACGTTCAGGGAAACTTAAAAATTCTTTTCGATTTTGCGAAAATTCAGGAACCGAAAGATTGTAATTTGTGTAATTATATGCTAGATCCATTTTTCGCATATTCTGGCAAATATTTTTCGAATTTGATTTCAGTCTCACAGGAGAGGAACGAATTTAGAGAATCGAAGAAGTTTAAGAATATTTTTGAAGTATCTTGTGGGATTTTTAAGACTCGAAAGATTCGAGTGTAAGGCTCCATTTTATCACACTTCGATTCTGGAAGGCAGAATCATTTAGAGTATGCATCTCACGGTAACGAGACTCTGGATTATAGTTTTCAAGTTTCGATAATTCCAAATGCTATTTTAATGACGTTTACTCAATTCCCATTTAACCACAAAATATATAGAGAAACTGTACGATAATCATTTTATCATATAAATTTCTAAACTTTCCCTCCGCATTCATAACCATTACTCGATGAATATGTAATGGATTTGGAGAAATTCTTCCCTCTTTACGATATATTTATTGGAATGACCGAATTTTAAATTAGGTGCATTATCTCTTTGCAATTTATGTGTGACAGGACTTTGGATCATATTTCGAAGGAAGGAGTTTGGAGTTTTTTTTAAAAATTATTTGGATAAACAAGAAATATGGTTGAGGATCAAGCTCCTTTTTCTACATTCCAGCGAAAGAAGATCCAAATTGTCTCTTGAGGATCGTATTGTTAAAACAACTAATGATTTTCGTTTGTTTGTTATATAAAATAGTTGGAAAGGAAATTCAGAAATGAATTTGATATCAGAGTTTGTTTTCACAAATCCGAAAAAGAACAATTCTTAGATTCTTCTGATGCACATTGAGCAATAGAGCATAATAAATTTCTTGATTTCTTAATTTTTAAAATTGATTGTTTCTGATTGTCTACAATATACCTTCTTCGTTGCGCATATAAAAATTTTGTTTTCTCCAATTTTATAATTTCGACTATAATACCGACATATTTTTCGATTTTCAACGGTTTCTTCGTTTTTCATTTGTATGATGATGATGTCCTAATGCAGATGTCTCAGCACTTGAATAAATTTTCTTTTTCGAAAATTTGATCACATTACCGTGAGATTAATTCAGTAAATTCATCGTTGCTCGCCCCGTTTCGTGCAGACACAGAAAAGGCAGTTTGGTTGACTGTATTATTGTGTACTTGCACTACTATTGCTACTCGAGGACATTTCAGATACTGGGGTCTCACTTTGGCGAATTCTAGATGGTGGGGGTAGGAGTGAATTGGCACTTTCGGGCATTGGGGGTAAAACATTTCGCTGAAAATGTCCTGACATATTTCCCACGGGTTGATAGTTGGCAACCACAATTATTTTGCCGCTCCTACTCCTTGCCTTTCCAACACCAAAGAGTCGGCTGCTGGCCCAGATCAGCTGCGTGAAATGACCTGCGCACAGGAGAACATTGGATCAGGAGAACATAAATGCGAAAGAAACACATATATTATTATATGTATGTTGAGAGATATTATGGGGAAGGACTATGGAAATTGCATATGTGCAAATATTGTTATAGTAGATTTTTAATCCTTAGTTTACAGAATGTGTGCTAGAAGAAGATTACTTGATACTTTGTTTTGCTTCCAATTATTCTTGATAGTTACTTTTCTGTTTATATTTTTTATACCCCTTTTAGTTTTACTTAAAGTTTTAGCCGTTTTAGTACTATATTAGTTCGGATAATGGGGCCTCTACTGTATTTACTACTTTTTTTTTACGATTTGCTACTATTTGGATACTTTTTTTTATTTGAAACACTAAAAGCTACTTTTTTCCCTGTTTGAGAATTTACACTATACTTTAAATTTGAATAAAATTCTTTAAAACGATTTAAATTAAGCTTTTTATGATTATCAAGCAACAAGAAGGATGCACTTTAATATTTTCTATTGAAGAAACGTTTAGTAAAACAATCATATAACATTTATTGCAAATAGTATGCAAATAGTTTATTACCCTTCTTCAGCTACTCTTTGACTGCTTCTATATTTATTGAAATTGATTTTAGAATTATAATTTTATGAATGAAATAATTTTCCAATGTTCGAAACAATCAATTCTTGGAATGAATGATTTTTTGCAATGTCATAGAGCAGAGAGATATTAAATTCGAGTGATTTAACACACACAAGAAAAAAAAGGTCAGGGACATACCAATAATACAAACACAAAAGATTCTAAACTCAAAGTGAAATCCCTTTTTACTTTGATGTTTTATTTTATTTATAAAATATAGAGATTTATAGACAGATAAAAATGCCAAAACAAGAAAATTCGTATTTTTGTTATTGTAAGTTATTGCAGAGTATATTCTTTTTAAAAATAATAAATATACCATATTGTTTCCCTATGGAAGAATATTGTTTAATAAAAAATTTTCAATCTCATTTTTTTGGCATTTTATTTTATGCTTATTAAATTAACATTATTTATAAATTTTTAATGTCTGGATTTTCATTTCTATATATATTCTCTTGTGATATTTGAAATATATCAAATATTTTTTATTCTATAAAATATTAAATGTTTAATTCCGTTGATATCTGCACAATTTGCAGTATCTTGTAATGAAAATTCAGGATTATCGTGATAAAAAACGACTATAAAGTTTATACAGGAAATGGAATTTCAACAATTGTGATTTACATTTTAATGTTCAACAAAAACTTGATTTCGATATAGATTATAACAGTTGGGGCTTAACGAAGACTGATAAAAAAATATACATCACTCAGCATTTTGCAAAAAAGCTGAATTATGAAAATTCGGAAATTTAATTAAAATTTAAAAGAACCTAGTTTTCTTTTTCATTATCGTTATATTTTTTATAATAAAATATTATGTTATTCTACTCTATTATTATTATTATTATTATTATTATTATTATTATTATTATTTTTATTTTTATATTATTTTTATATTATTTTTGTATTATATTATATTATACTATACATTATACTATATGCAATGTATAATATGACGGCGGGTACTTCTAAGTATATTAAATAAATTAATAAAGAAATAGAGGAACCAATTTTCGGATACTTTAACTTTTACAATTTAGAAATTTGAAATCTCAGATATTTTACTAAAAATAGAAAAAATAAAAGTAAAAAAAATAAAAAAAAAACGGGCTCAACCGGGATTTGAACCCGGGACCTCTCGCACCCAAAGCGAGAATCATACCCCTAGACCATTGAGCCGTTGTTATATACATTCGTTTAAATACTCACTCGATTCTTAACGGAACAAGAGAAAGTTCGATATGTTAGTATTTCTTTTTTATCAATAATAATAGTCGCTGAGATAGTGTTATTTATATTTTGATTCGTACTCAGTTCTTATCGCTAAATACACGATTCTAAGAAAAATTGCTCCATATTTTTATTTTTGATATTTTTTCTCCAATTTCATAAAATTATTTATTAGTCATTGAAATTAATGCAGTAAGTTAATTATAATAATTTTATTTATTTTATTTATGTTTATTACTTTATATTTTTTGTTTTATTTTTGTTTTTTATATTTTTTATATTTCATTTTTAAATACTTTTTGAAAGTGAAAGGAGAGAAATATATTGAAATAGGAATTATAATGAAATAATTTTGTATTTTAGGGTTTAGCTGGTGTTTTGGGGTTTATTTTTATATATCTTTCGCCTGCTTTTATTATTTACCTGCATTTACGTTGGCATGTAGGACATCGGGTTCTTTTAAGAAATCGTATTGTTTAACAGCAGAATACCAATAAGCGGCAACCTCTTGTCCTGCCACATCACAAGGCACACCTCCACCCGGTCGACAATATAAATTTTGCCCAACTTCTCGATCGTTACGATAATAAAATGTATTTGTATGCGCTAGATGATTCGCCCACGTTTGAGCATATTCACACAGCTGCAACATTTTTATTAAAAAAAAAGAACAAATTATTTTCTTCTACATTTTAAGGAAATTTCGATTTTACATAGGGACTTTTTGTCGACTGAATTTTGTTAGTTTTGTTAGAATTCATTTAAATGAAAATTTATAATATTCTTTCCTATTAAAAAATAATAATTAAATATTTATTTAAAAAAAAAGTTGTGGATTTTACAATTAAAGAAGTTCGTAAATAAATGTAATAGAACATTTTTTTTTGAGTATTTATAAGTAGTTTTTTTAAACTCTTTCGGTTTAAAATTATAATATTGTTAGGTACGCTTTGAAAGCTGACAAGTTTTAAACAAATTTTTTAATCACATGGCAAATAGAATTCAGAATAGACGTATAAAGCGTATAAACTATAATTTATGAGTATGACATTATAACACTACTGCATGTTCTGTGTATACATATAGTAATGTCGTTTTTGTTAACGAGGAACGTTAACAGTAAATTCAAGTAGTGTAGGTTTGATATCTGCACTTGACAAGCTTTATTTTACCTGCGGTGACATCGTTAATGGTGCAGCGTTATGTCGTTGTCGATAAACATTATGCCAGCACAAACATTCCGTTATAAATTCACTATCTCGCCAATTCGTCTCCAGATCACTACTGTCATATGATATGCTCATTGGCCTATTACTCAATATCTGCAACAAACAATAAATATTTGCATTTTTCAAACAGTTTTTTTTCAAAAGTATTATATATAATAATTAATGCATTCACACCGAATAAAGAAAGTCTGAAACCGTTTTGCATCTTAAAACCAAAATTATTAAAAAGCATCAGCCTATTTTTAAAATTAAAACTAGATTAAGTAAAAACAAAGTCTGAAACTGTTCACATCTTAAAACTAAAATTAGATGAATGTTTTTTGTGGTGTTTTAATATATATTAATTTGAAGCATTTTTAGGACAATTTCCATATGGAAATTGGCGAGGAAATTGGACTAAAAATTCTTCAAATTATTAAAACTAAAATGATTGTAAAGTAGCCTGTTTTTAAAGTTAAAATTGAGTTTATTTTAGGACTTAAAATTATACTCTCAGGACCAAAATTCAATAAAAAATGGTTCTAATCTAAACTTCTTTAGTCAGAAGTAAATTGAAAGTAAGATTTATTTTTTACAGTGCACGGAAAAGAATAATGGTAGTGTATATGTAGAAAAATTTCGATTATGGTAATTATAGATGATGTTAATGAAAAATATCGATTTCTTTCTAAATATCTCTTTGTTTTATTGGTCGAATTTTCGAAATAGATTCTTCTTGATTCAGACAGGCTGTACAGTTTTTGATGTCGATGTGTATATAGCTTATGACATTTTGCATGTCGTGACCTGCTCTTCAAGAGAATTGAATATATCTATATAGATATACTTGCACTTCTTGAAAGCGGCCTTTCAATAAACTCTGACGTGACAAGTTTAAAGTTTCCTTTGTTATATACGTATATAGCTAAATCCATTTCCGTTATATTGGCTAAGATGTAATTTTCAGAAATAATATTACTATATACATATACGTTTGTCTAGAGTATAATAATGGAGGCTGTACGTATATATTGGAATAGTAATAATTAGGTTCGTGAAGTTTAACATTCAAAGGGACTATACGAGATATTGTTACTTTCATTCTAATTTTGTTAGAAACAAGAGCTTCTCAATTTTGATGAGAATATGTAAAAAGTTAATTTTAAAGAAAATTTATATTTAGTCCCATAAAGAGATGTAGTGGAAAAAATTTAATTTTTAGAATTCATGAGAAAATTTTGAATTTTCGTCTCTTTTTTGTTTGTCTTAAACTATGTCTCAAACTATGAAATTATTTAATGAATGAATTTACTAAAATATTTGAAAATTAATTGAATTTTAAAGGAGTTTCGTTGCAATTTTCATAAATAGATGAACTTCAAAAAAGGTATTGATTTGAAATTTTAGAAAATTTTAATTTTTAATTAATTTTATTAGAAATTATAAAGAACTTTAAAAAAAAGACTTTTGAAAAATTTTAATAATTTAAATTCTTCTGAGAAATTAGTTAAATTTTTCAATTACATTCAAAATTTTTTTTTAAATAATAAAATGCTCCTCCAAAATTTAATGATTTTTAGTACCTATCTACTATTTTAATAAAATTTTCCAAAAGAATTCAATTATTTAATAAAAATTTCCGTAAAAATCTAGGCAAACATTTAATTATTTTTTATAAATAATAAAAATTTTGTAGGGATTCAATTATTTACAAATTTTTATAAATTTCTTCGCAATAATTCAATTATTTTTATAAGTAATGAAACTTTTTGTAGAGATTCAATTATTTTCATAAAAAAATGAAATTTTTTGCAGAGATTCAATTATTTTCACAAATAATAAAATTTATCGCAGAATTTCAATTATTTTTAATACAATTTTAAATAAATTCCGCAAAAGATACAATTATTCTTAAAAATTTGAATAAAATTCTTTGAAAGAATTCAATTATTTAAAAAAATTTTAATATAGTTATTAGAAAAAATTCAAAAAATATTAATAAAATTCTTCTCAAAAATTCAATTATTTTAAAAAATTGTAATAATAATCGTTACAAGAATTCAAATATTTTTATAAATACTAAAATATTAAAAATTCTTTGACAGAATTCAATTATTTAAAAAAATTGTAATGAAATTCTTTATAATAATTGAATTGTTTTCAATATAATTTTAATACAATTTTTTGATAGAATCAAATTATTTTCATAAATAATATCCTTTTTATAAATAATAAAATTATTCTCAGGAATTCAATTATTTTAAAAACTTTATTAAAGTTCAGTGACAAAAATTCAATTATTTACATAAATAATAAAACTCATCACAGGATTTCAATTATTTTTACTACAATTTTAAAATAATTCCGCGAAAAATGTAAATATTCATAAAAATTTTATTAAAATTCATCAAAAGAATTCAATTATTTAAAAATTTGTTGATAAAATTCTTTACGAGAATTCAATTTTAAGAAACATTCAATTGCTCAATAAATTATTTTTGTATTTAAATAATTGAATTTTCATTAGAATTTTCTAATAAAAATGGATTTCAAAATAAATTTTAGTTACAATTTTAGATAATAATTGAAAAAAGCCATACAATGAATTTTTCTAAATAATTGAATTTTGAAAAGGTTTTTAAATTAAAATCTTTGAAAATTTGAATTTTGCATACTCTTAACTAACAATTCTGTAGAATTAATTTTTTTTAAATAGTTTAATTTAATTTTTCTTTGAAATTATTTGAAGTTTTTATTTTCTAAATATTTAACAGAAGAATTTCCGAATAATCAAAGTTTTATAAAATTGAATTGTAAGCAAATGAATTTGTAAATTCTCTAGAGCTTTTTCAAAAATTATTAAAAATAATTGATTTAAAGAAGAATTTTAGTTAAAAATTCTAGAAAATAATAATTGAATTGAAATGATGAAAATAATTTTGAAGAAATTGCAGTAACTCTGTCATCTATAATTACTATAAGTTCAAATTAAAATTAATATTTTAAATTAAAAAAGTTTGAATTTAGGGTCAGGGAAAAAGTCAAAATTTTGTCTGAAAATCAGGAAAAGTCAGGGAAAAAGAAATTTAAATTTTAGTGACATCCCTGGTTTTTAATAGAAAATTTGTTATTTTTTCTACAATTCAGATTCTATTTCGTCGAACTATATTTTTGTAAATTTAATTGTGAAAAAAAAGTTTAACAAAAAATAAATAGTTATTGATGCGAAAAATGCACTTGCACCGAATAATTGAAATGTCGTTTTCTGAAAATCCAATAAAGTTGCATCAGTAAAGAAAGTGTTGAGGCGGAAAACGTGAAAAAATAATTAGTTGTGTCCTCCAGTTTTCTCTCATGATAATTATAATATATAAAATTATAAATTTTATATATAAATAAATAATATACATTTAAGTCCTATATATAAATAACACTTATTACCTAAATAATATATACGCCCTGAGAAAAATTTTATTTGAAGCAAATATTTTTTTATTATATAGAGTTTTGAATGATAGGCTTCAAAAATATTATGTCAATAAGATATCCATGGTTTGTCTATATCGCGTTGTTTCTAATTTAAAATTATATGCAAATAAACTATACACGAGAGACTGATTTTAATATAAATGGGGAAAATTACGTGTCGGTGCATTTCAAATGTCAAAGGCAACGGAGCATTGTCTCATTTTCTATAGTTTTGATGACCCAGATAAAATATTAAGAAAAAATGTCTTTTCCTTTTTTCTATCGATTTTATAAAAATCTTTTATTTATTTATTCAAAAGCATACGGGCAAATTATTAAAATTAAAAATCCTAAATTTTAAGAATATAAGTGGCATTTTATTTTCTCGCACTTTTTATGAAAGTGTAACAAATTCTTACAATAGTTTTATTTTTTAAGTGTTGCTATTAGTGAAAAAAATTGTTGGTATAAAAAAATGTAGTTTGGCTATAATATTTAGTCATCGTTTTGAATCGCACATATCGTGTATGGTTTTTTTTTAAAAACTAAATGTCAAAGTGTTACAGAAGAGGCATCATATAAGAGGCCAGGATTTTTCTTTCAAAGAAGAGTTGATGTTCATGAATAGAAAAGTAGTCGTCATTAAGGCTTCTTTTTTTCTGAAGTAAAGTACTTTACACTTGACAATGGTAAAAAATAATCTTTCTCAAAATGTCCATGTTTTCTCCTTTTAAAAGAAAACGGTCATTATGATATTTGAATATACTATTTTTTCTTTTCATGATTACTTATTTTTAGGTTTTTTTCATTTTCTTCTTCTTTCTTTTCTCTCTTTTCTCTCTTTTTTGTAATATATACATCTAGTGATCCACATTCAAGTTAGGAAAATAAAAAAAAAAAATTCTCATTTTCAGTAGAATTTGTGTGATAATGAAAAAAAGCATTTATATGCAAATGTGACTGGATTATTCCAAAGTGTATTAATGGTTCTTTCATAGATGAGTGCATTATATATATGTATAATAGAGAGAAATTTCGTTTATGTTTTAAATTTAATTTTTGAAATATAATTGTCCCGTCAGTGAAAAGTCAGAAAGAGTTAATTCCTCCTCGTATATCATTCTTTATTTCGCACGAGCTAAATTTTTATTGCTCTCTATATAGCTCTCTCGAAAAAAAAAGATTGTATCAAAAGCTCGTGGGATTAAAGCTCATTGTTGAAAAAAAAGAGAAATAATATAATAAATAATGAAGAAAAATTTCTAGTGTCACTTTATAAGGTGTTAATTCGAAAATGTTTTGTTATTCTTCGCACATTTTTTACGAATTTAAACGATGATCATAAAGTTAATTAGTGAATTTTAATATAGATGTAAAGTTATAAAAATCCTTTTCTCTCTCTCTTTTTTATTTGATATATTCTCTTTTTTTGAATTATTACTTTCTGCTTTTTGATATAATCTTTTATTATATATAGAGAACGAAAAAGTTGAGCTGATTCCATTAAATTGAATTCTGTTGCACAAACTTTTTTTAGTCGAGAAGAGAAGTACATTCGAATGTATAGCTATGACGACTTTAGGGAGAACGTAAAAAACAGCAATTTTCTTTTATGACAAGAAATGCTCCATGCGACTTTTATTTCCATGTCTTTTTTTTTGCCTCACGAATCGTAAAAATTGATCAGTAAATGTGTTTTACTTTAATCAGTGTAAAAAAAAAATTTCCATGAATGTTATCGGGAGTCAAAGGTATTAAAGTGTTTTTTTTTTTTATTAATTTCAAATTTCGTATTTTTTTCCTCAAACATTTTTTGCCTTGAAGTGAATAGAAATGTGTTTTTTACACTTGAATTGTCAAATTTTTTTTTGTTTTGGGGGAAATTAAATATTTTTTTCCTCTAAATTGTATAATTTGTATAAATTTTACGAATATATTGTATAAATTTTATGAATATTTTATAAATTGGATCTATAAATATAATTAAGAGTGGAGTAAATCTCGATGAATGTGAGGGAACAATAAACAAAATTTAATTTATGTAAAATATCCGCTTTTTAGTTTCTTTAGAATTGATATGCAGTTGTAATCAATTAGATAATGTATTTACAATGAATCAGCTATACATACGAAGTTGAAGTCCACAACGTTGATCAACGAAAAAAATTTATTTAATGCAATCAAGTATTATTTTTAATTTAATATTTAATTGTAAAATAATTATTATCAAAACATAAATATCAATCCTTTTTTTCTAAATACGCTTTTTTGTCAATATTTCTGCGTAATTTTTAATTAATTTACTTAATGAACAATTTTTTTTCGTTGATCAACGTTGTGGACTTCAACTTGGCCTATACATATAAGAGAATAAATTACATTATTCGTTGAATGGTTTCTAAAATAAACTCGATACATATAAATTTTTGTTTGTATAGTATAAATTATCTAAATTTATTTATACCAATCTGTATATAAAGCGGGATAAATGTTTTCAATTTCAATTAAATTCTTTACGATATAGAATATCGTAGATATTTATTATATAAGTTGAAAATAGAATTTACAAAAAAATGTCAAAATTGTTTACTCTAATATTTACAATCACTATCGTTGTTAGCAGCAATGCTGATGTAAGTGTTTACTTTTAATAAAATTTTAACATTAAAAATAATAATCAAATAAACATTGTATTTGTGTCAAATAAAATATTTATTTACAACAATTTATTAGAATTTGAGACAAATTTACTTTTATTTAACTCAAATAAATTATATTTGGTATAAATAAAATTTTTCTTTAGGATTTATAGATTTATAGAAGAATTTTAGTTAAAAACAATAAAAAAATTTGCATTTTGGAGAAGTTAGAAATGATTGCAAAAATTCAATTATATGTTTAAAAGTTTAACAAAGTTCTCGTCAAAATTTCAATTATCTTTATAAATAATAAAACTCTTCTCCAAAATTCAATTATTTTCAAAAAATTTAATAAATTTCTTGGCAAAATTTTAATAAAATTTTTCAATATAATTAAACAAATTTTGATAAATTTCTATTATTTTCATAAATAATAATAATATCATGGAAATTCAATTATTTTCAAATTTGTTAGAAATTTCTTCGTAATAATTCCATTTATTTTCATAAACTATGCAATTTTTTACACAAATTCAATTATTTTCGAAAATAATAAAAATTTTTTTAGGAATTCAATTATTTTCATAAATAATAAAAGCGAATTCCTCGAAAAAATTGTAATTATTCTTAAAAATTTTATTAAAATTCTTCGAAATAATTTAATGATTTAAAAAATTTTTGATAAAATTCTTAATAAGAATTCAGTTTTGAGAAACATTCTATTAAATTATTTATTTTTGTATTTAATTGATTGTATAAAAAAGAAATAAATAATTGAATTCTCGTAAAATTTTCTAATAAATATTGATTAAAAATGGATTTCAGTTAAAATTTTAGATAATTGAACATTAAAAATATTACAGCGTAAATTTGTATAAATAATTTAATTTTGAAAAGGTTTTAAATTAAAATCTTTAAATCTGAATTTTTTCATACTTTTAACTAATAAAATTATTTCATACTTTTATTTTCTAATATATAATTAATTGAAGAATTTTTGAATAAACGAAATTTTGTGTAAAATTGAATTGCAAACAAATGGATTTGAAAATTATTAAAAATAATTGATTTCAAGAAAAATTTTAGTTAAAAATTCTAAAGAATAATAATTGAATTGAAATCAGAAAATCAGGAAAAAGTTAGGGAAGCATCAGGGAAATTACAAAATTAAATTTTTGTAGCAACCCTGATTTTAGTCTTGAGCTTAAGATTTTATGTTATGAAATTTTTATTTCAAGTTTAAAATTGACATAATCTTTTAGTTTTAAACTTTAAAAATAGGCTAATTTCCTATAATTTTGTTTTTAAGTGTTTAAGAGTTTTAAACATTTTTTTTTGTTTGTTTATAAGAAAGGAAGAAACTGAGTCAAAATTAAAATTAGTCCAATATGACACAATTTCGAATTTTAAATATGAAAAAAAGCAGAAATTAATTTTTTATCCTTTGGTGGAAGGGGAAATAATTCCTTTTTTTAGTATTTTGAACAAACGTGGTTGTTATTGCATATACGTGACTTAAAAAATTGTTTATATTTAATTTCTTAGGATGCAGTTAATGGAGAATTAGATTATTTATTGTCAAGGTGTCATGATATTGAATATTTTATAGATCCAGTTAAAATTGAAATTCAATCACGACGAAAAAGTTTGGTAATACATTTTTAATTTAATGATACTGTTTATAATATAATAATATAGGTAATAATAAAAAAAAGTAATAACAATAATGTTAGAAATAGAAATAATAGTAACAGTAGCAACATTAATATTAATAATTCAATATTTTTGGAAGCCATAAAATTATATAAATAAAAGATGTTTTGATTCTTCTGTTTGGCCTAATGGCTTAAGCCAAACAGAAGAATCAAAACATATTTTATTTGTTAATATTAATAGTAGATAATAATAATATTATTAATAATAAAAATAAAAATAATTAATAATAATAATAATAATAATAATAATAATATAAATATAAGTAATAGTAATAATAATATAATAGTAGTAGTAATAAGAATCAGAAGATCAAACAATTATATAATTTAAATTCCTTGTTAAGGCGCAGGAAGTTTTAAGAAGTCGTAAGCTTTTAAATAGACAATGCATTAAGGCGATTGAGGAAAACAATAATAGAATTAATCAACTTCTTGATGACAAGACGCGAAATATTTCTGAATTACAAACATTTGTTACAAATATCAGAAATTATGTTGCAGACATAAAACAAGTGAGTTTTGAAAAATAACAATCAGTATGTACTTACAACAGTCGATAAAATTTATAAATTTATTTATAAAAAACAGTTTTAAAATTTAAGCAAACGCTAAGTGAAAAATATTGATAAATTTAAAAATTTAAATTTTTTCCCTCAATCATATTCATGAATTATAAGATAATGCTTGATGTGCTTAAAACTATATCAGCAGTAATTTTATTTAAAAGACTGTTGGAAATATATACATTTTTGCTTACATACGTTATAGATAACATTAAAAATATTCATATGCATTTTTTTTCAATAGAGCAGTGAAAGAGAAATAAGGGAGGCTAAGCAGGGAATACTGCAAATAACCCGAAAAAAGGAGAATGAAGTAACGGATAAAGTAGACTTGGCAAAAAGATTGAATATTAGATTTGTTACTGATCTTGCAACTCCATTTCAGCAATTTGTCTTTATTCAAGAGTGTTACAAAAAAAGATTTCTGATTATCTAATCAGATGTCTAATAGTTGTTTGGTTTAGTTAACTAATAAGCTAATTTAATTTAAATCAATTTATATCCTTAAAAATTTACGAAAATGAAAATTAGAGAAATGAGAAATGATAATTAGAGATTAGAAATTCTTTTTTGATTCTATACGTTTTTAAAAACATTGTACACTTCATATTTTTAAGCAAATGTTTCCTATGTGTGGTGTTAGTGTTACTAAAATAATTTTATAACAACAGGAACCATAAAAATGTCTTGTAATAAAGATTATACGATTTAGAAGTAATGACAAAAAATAGAGATAAAAATTCTCTTTAAAATTACTTGTACATTTTCATTTTTATCATAAAATTCTGCCCTTGCTGCTTTTTTTTCACTCTAGGGTTAGAAGAAACCCAATTTCCATCAAAAGTGAGAAGTTTTCTCGCCGGGAAATTGTATAGTAAAAGTAGTTTCAACTTGTTCTATTTCATTTTAATGGGTATTTTTATTTTCCATTCGATTATCTTGAAGTTTTATTTTTTATTAACAAGGAATATTTTGAGTGGATAACTTTACTTTTTTGGCATTTGTACAATGCGGATTTCAGCTAAAAAAAAATTCTGTGTAGAATTTTAATGTCCTCTCAGCGTCGAAAACAATTTTTTTTTGTCGAGATTGTAAAGAATTGAACGAATCAAATACTTGTTTAAAAGGTTTTAGAGGTCATTAAATATTTTTTAAACTCACTATGAAATAATGGAAATTAGTAACATTTTTATCTCTAAAAATTCTAAGTAACATTTTTCGAAGCTTATTTTAACTTTCAAGACTACAAATTTTACTATATAAAAAGAGTTAATTTTATACGTTGCGATTCCATTTTTTTCTACCGACAATGAACTGCTTTAGTTGTTATATTTGTTTGACCCAAAAATGACAAAAGTTAAATTAATTTACAATGGATTTTCCTGCTAAAAATTGTGTACTTTTTTTCATCTCTCTCTCTCTCTCTTTTGCACTAAAGTCTGTAACTATAAAGGAATCAACTTTTTGAATTACATTCTACTGTAAACTTAACGTAATAAATTTTCAACTCTCTCAGATAACAGATTAGTTTCATATATAGATATTGTAACAGTATATACATATGAAAAATGTAATTCCGTCTCTCCAGTGTTCGTATATATATTTAAAAATATAGGATATGCATGAAAATATCTGTCTGTTTCAAAAGTTTAGTACAGTTGCAAAATTTTATTAGACTAGATATTGCTTTTTGAGAAAAGAAAACCTCCATAAATGGAATCGATTGGCCGGAAAATGAGAGAGCTTGTTTTGCATCAGTGACTCAACTTGTACTTTTGTCTCTTTTCCTTGAGAAACTTTGATCCTTTACATGTATTCCTAAATAGATACACAGAAGTGCTATGCTAAAATTCTTAAAGTATGGAATAAAATAAAGTTGTTGAAACTCTGTAATAGAAATAGTTTTCAAATTAGATCTAGAGAACCAATTTTAAAAATAAAATGGTACTACAATTTGTTTTATTGGATCCTAAAAGGTAAAGTGTGTCAAAAAACCCTGGGGTTTTTGGTTTTAGTTTGACAGCTTTCTTCTTAGGATTCAATAAAAGAAATCTTAATTTAAAAAATAGTAGCTTTGAAAAGAAAAAAGTACCCGTTTTGAAATTTCATAAAGAAGTATGGTACTTGCTTTGCTTACTCTTCTCTTCTTTTTTGAACTTAGCATTAAAGAGTGAAGGTGTTTATTTTTGCAAAGATGTTCGTTTAATAAGAATAAAAGATATCATGGGAATTGTTAGAGGAAGAGAGTGAGAGAGAAAGAGAGAGAACTACAATTTGGGTCGATACTTTGGGTTCAGGTGCGGCTCTTTTGAATGTCTACCCCCTTGAATATCCGCATTGCTGGCATTTTATCTTTAAATTATTCCAAAATTAAGATTTACAAATTACAATGCTCTGGATTTCTTAATTTTTGAGACTAGAAACTTTACCTTAATTTTGAATTATTCTCAACTCTTTATTAGGTACTATAAGAAAAATCTGTTTCTTTACTACACTTTTGTTATTTTTGCAAAAATTTATTTAATCAAACTTAGAACTTAAAATTCAGACAATTAGTGCTGAAAGCATCTGAAAAATTCGAGAATGTTGAAACAAGAAATTCGACTCGTTTTATCATCTAATTAATTCTTTTTTTAAAATTGCTACTATCTTCTTGTTTCCTGAACATTAAATCGCTACTTTTGACTAAAAGCGTTTATACATTAGAAACATTTTTGAATCTTAGCCTTTAGAGTATTAGTCCTTATGACTTAAAGCACAGTTTTAAATTTAAAAATACGATACTTTTCAATCATTTCGGTTTTAAGATATAACAGCTTTTCTAAAGATATCAAATTGAACCAAAAATGTATCAAAATTGTTGATGCAACGTGTTTTGTCTAAAAGAAAAGCTGATGAAGCTGATGATTTCAGACTTTTTTTCAATATTGAAAAAGTCTTATTCAAAAATGTTGAAATAGATAAAGACTAATTTTCTCTGTTAAATAATTTTTCCTTTTTTTAAATTGTACTCTTCTGTTTGTGTTCCTGTTTCCTGAACGTGTATACATTGAAAGGTCTGAAAATTGTTAAGAATACCGAGTGTTGATAATAGTTGTTGTTGGCTTGTTGGTTATCGTAAATTTTCCAATATTGGAAATGTCAAATACACACACTCCATTTTCTCTCGTTGCTATACTATATACAACTGATATGAAGTCTTCAATCATTTCTTCTCTTTTTTGCAAAAAATGTTTTTAATTAAAAACAAAAATCCAGGAAACAAATTAATGAGTTTCATACATAATGAAATTTGTGAAATTTTCCACTAATTCCTTGTGTGCGAGAGACACTTTGTAGAACATGCTACAAATCTAAAGTCATTAAATGTCCCATTCTGTTGGAAGCTGAGCCTGCGGTGCGCAGCTAATTTCCGGTTTTGCTGCATTCAAGAGCGAACGAGTCAGGCTAAACCTTAATTGTTCCGATTAAACTATACCTTTGTCACATTTTCCTAATGTATGTAGTTAGGCTCTTCCTCTATCTTTCTCTCTCTCTATAATATACTCAGGCTCTTGGATAGTATGGCTTTTTTAATTATTTTCAAAAAATGAGACTTTTTGGACTTTTTATACCAAATTTTGCAGCAAAATAACAAAATTGGTATAAATTGTAACCTAAGATATTTTAAAGAAAAAATGCTATTTTTAAAACTAAAAACTAAAATAAATTAAATTATTTTCAGAAACCTAAACCCCTTTAAAAGAAAAATTCTATTTTTAAAAGTAAAAACCGAAAAAAAGTACAAGAGATATTCATTGTATAAAAAAAACTTAACCTTATATATGAAAAATTTGGCTCCGTTTCAAAACATTGAAATGCAGAATGGTGCAGAAAACATGATTTTTTTCTTATTTGACTTATTGGCCAAGAACCACTATGCCGAAGGTTCGTTTTCGTTATACATAGAGGACACGGAGAAGCGTATTTTTTTATAATACATAATTTATTATATTTTGATGATAAAATAGCAAGTCTTCAAACTGGAAATATTCCAGGAAATAATTTTGAGTCTATGGTACAAATAAAATCTGCTAGTTTCTTTAAAAGATATGTGGCGTCTGGATAAGGTCCAAGAAATCGCGAACTTTCCCAATGTCACGGGTCACATTTCTGGTTGTATATATATACATTCGTTGTGCGGTTTAATTTTTCGAATTTTAACGATGTCTAAAAGGCAAAACTTTACATTCAAAAAAAAAAAAAAAATGCAGATAAAAATAAGAGTAGGAAGGAATCTAAAGAACTTCGATTTAAAGCATAACCTATTTTCTCAATGTGACCTAAACCAAATTTTTTTGTTTGCTAATTTTTCAGTTCATAATTCCTAAATTTTCAAAAAAAAGTCTTTGTGGTTTTGATTCCAGTTGTATTGGCTTTTTTGAAAAATCTCGAATTTCTAAATCTGCAAATTCTCTTTTTCTTCTACCATCTAAATTTTAATTAGTAATGTTTACTAATTATTTGATTTAGTGACTAACTTTTTGCTTTTGAATTAGTATTTTATTTTAGAATCTTTCTAATAAAATATACTTTTTTTTACTAATTTATAAAATTTATTACTAAAATTTACTATTTCAAAAGCAAAAAGTCAGAAACTAATTCAAATTACTATAAAGATTTTTCTTAATTAAAATTTAGAGATGAGATGATGAAAAATTCGTTTATATATTATTTATCTAGTTAAACACTGATTCAAAGAATTTAAATTAAAAAATTAAAATTAAAAACTCGCTTCAGAAATCCGAATTGATAATATTTTTACGGGTTAATTCACTCGGTATATTTCGAATAGGAAAATTATTGTAGAAACGTTGCGAGTTCACATGACGCGGAAAGAATTTCTCTCGTTTTTAAAGCATCTGCATGTATAAATGGATATATATGCGAATCTATAGTTATATATAAATATGTATATAGATTAAACAGTCGGGAATCTGCACAAAATAACTTTTGGACCATGGAAAGCGAGTTTTAAAGCTTTTCTAAAATTAATGTCCTTTCTCTCTCTCTATTCCTTTTGACCAAATATCCATTAAAGCAACAAAATTAATGGTTACTGCAGAAAGATAAGAAGTATACTTAACTCTTACCGTTTTTTTTTTTTATACAAATGAATAGAAATACCGTCGCTTTTTGAAACTTTATTTCATTTATAAAAAGCAATTTATTCTATTGAAGACAAAATTTTCATAGATTATTATAATATCAGGCCTTGCACTCATCTACTAAAACCTATACTATTTACTACTTTTTTTTTACGAATTGATACTATTTGGATACTTTTTTTATTTGTTACACTAAAAGCTACTTTTTTTAATGTTTGAGAATTTACACTAATTTAAATTTGTTAATAGTTTAAATAAAAAAATTATTTTAAAAAATTTTAATAAAGTTATTGAAAAAAATTCAAAAAATTGTAATAAAATTTTTTAAAACGATTTAATTATTTTCACAAATTTTTCGTAATTCACTGATTTTTAATATCTACCATTTTAATCAAAAATTCCCAAAAAGAATTGAATAATTTTTAAAAAATGTTTATAAAATTCTTTGCAAAAATTTCAATTATTTTCAAAAATAAAATAATTTTCACAGGAATTCAATTATTTAAAACATAATTTTTATAAAATTTTTTGAAAAAAATCAATTATTTAAATAAATTTTTAT